TTGCATTAGCAAATCAATTTCCAGTCAATCAACATTAGATATACGGCTTTTTCTTCTATCAAACCAATGGTTTAAAAGTAAATTGTGTTTTAAATTTGTAGATTTAAAGATTGGATTTCAAATTTATTTCCTGAGGACAGCGATAAATTCCTTGGTTTTCTAGGAGTAAAGTGCTTATACGAGTTGAAGGACAAAGATGTCAAGAGGTCAGCTTGCATGGAGTTAAAGAGTTTTTCTCAAGAAATGAGGATTGATAGAGTTTCTTTTACGCCTGTTCATTCAAGCGCATTGTTTGAATTTCTTTCTGAATGCGAGAAACTCAAAATTTTTTTTTACCAATGCAAGTTTCTTGATAATCATAGCTGTCTTCCAATGAAAAAATATTTGTTAAATGTAAGAGCTGAAATTTCAATTTATTTACGGTTTATCTGTTTTAATTTTGGAAAATACTTTTGGAATCATCTTAGTAAAGCTTTAAAGAGTGAGAGTTGTAAACTTACATAATTGCATATTAGTATTAGCAAAATAATTGATGAAGGTGCTAATATTTTAATGAAACTTTGAAGAAATGTAAAATTATTGATTTACACAGCGGTAATAACAGTATAGGTGATCAAGGTGCTCAATTTTTTTACTGAAGCTTTAAAATGTAAGGATTGCAAGCTTACTGATTTAAATATCGGTAATAACAGTATGGGTGATCATGGTGCTGAATATCTTAATATAGCCTTGAAGAGTGAGAATTGTAAGCTTAATAAATTGAATATTGAAGAAAATAACATTAGTGATCAGGGCTCTAAATATTTTGTGCAGCTTTAAAAAGTGAGGATTGTAAGCTTACTGAATTAAACATCGGTGGTAATAGTATAGGTGACCAAAGCGCTAAATATCTTAGTGAAACTTAGTGAAGATCTTTATATCAGTAATAATAGTATAGGTGATCAAGGTGCTGAATATATTAGTGAGAATTGTGTACTTACTAAATTGTATTTAAGTAGTAGCAATATAGGTGATAGGAGTGCTAAATATCTTAGTAAAGCATTAAAGAGTGAGAACTGCGATCTAACTGAATTGGATGTTTCATAAAACATTTTTAACGATGAGGGTGGTAAATATCTTAGTGAAGTATTGAATAGTGAAAATTGCAAAATTACTGTATTGAATATTAATTATTGTAATATAGGTGATAAAACCGTTGAAAAACTTAGTGAAGATTTAAAAAGTGAGAATTGTAAACTTACTGAATTAAGTAATTGCAATAACAAAAAAAGTGGTGAAGATTTTAAATGTCTTAGTGAAGCTTTGAAAAGCAAAAATTTTATTCATCAGAAAATTGGCAAAGTTATTCGCCAAGGGCAAAAGGTTGGTGATTTTTCGTAGCCAACAATCAACGAGCTATTTTCTGTTTAGAAAAGACTTTAGAAAAACGTTTGTGCCTTTACAGTTGTGTATACGTTAATGCCGTAACTGATTTATAAAAATTACATTGATTTTGTTTTGTTGTGTCAATTTTAAATGTAAGTTTATTTATAAGGTTTGTTTTATATGTAAGTTTATTTGCAGCAGTAACCGATAATTTTTCAAAAAAATTCATGTGGAAGCTATTAACTAAATATTTGGAAAAAATCATTGTTTTTTTTCAAAATGATTTTTTCGCATTTCAAGATGCCTTTTTTTTACGAAAATTTAGTACAGAGGGAAAATTTGGCTTGCACATAAGGTAAACATTTCATTCAATTTTATTTTGTTCTCGCTTTGTTTGTTGATAATTATCTAAAATAACCGAATATAGTAAGTAGAGTAGTAGACTATGTATGCATTCCTGATGCATTTGCAAATTCAACCTCACAATAAAACATTTTTTGGCATTAAACATTAGGTAAAACACGGAAAAACTGACTCTTGAGAAAAATATATCATTCTTTGTCTATAACGAAATAGCCTGTAGGTGTGTAAGCCACTTGTATTTAACTTAAAATCATCCCACCTCCTGCTTCAAGTTCATAATTCAAACCTTTATATGTTTTGTAAACAAGTTAAGTGAACAATTTATACATCTTGGGACTCTCCTTTCATATAAACGTTCATTGATTTAAAGTCAACAACTAAATCTATAAGTATAGTTTGATTTGTAAACAAATATTGTTCATTTATTTTTTTCTTAATTTTACAATATTTACTGTAAACAATTAAAAGTGTAACAAACAATGATGGACTTTAATGATGTTGTAAATATTTAACTATCCAATGAAATTTAAATAATAAACGTGAACACACAAATATTTTCAGTAGAAAATCTTTTCCAAATGACAATTTGCTTTTTATTATATATTTGGAATCGAGATCGTATCTTTCAAATGCCTCTTTTAATATCTTGTGACACGCGTTCGCGCTGCTGATGGATTCTACTTAACTCAACTTTTATCTAAAAGTGAACACATATGCCATTTTTGTTTTTGCATGTATTTTCTATGGTACTGATATATATTAAGACAAAGAGTTTACAATCACGATAACTTATGACAATCACTTAAACTGTATTACCCAAACAATTGTGTATACCTACACACTAAACAGTTTCTAAAAAACCCACAGAATTGCGCATTCTTGGGGCATTCAACGTCAACAGCTATAAGACACATGCTGTACGAGCTAACAAAGTTTTAAGAAATTTGGCTGATGCGTACACGAACGCATAGCTTTCAAATTGCAAATTATTTTGAACTTTTCGGGTTTAAATACCATCTTGTCATAATCTTCCTCAATTATCCATAAATTTGCAGTTTAATTAATCCAAATATGAATAACCAATGAAATTTTCAAAGAAAATGGCATTTAAAAAGAAAATAATTAATCTTATTCTCAATTTGGATGCTTAGCGTTCGTGCACAGTTTTGCCAAATTTTACGGAAGTTTGTAAGCTTGAACAACATGTAACATATTTTAACCTTAGGTGTTCCACCTGGTCTTTCGCTTTGTCGTTTTTGTGCGCAAGCTATTTCAAAAGAGCTTCTAGGTAACACAATTCTCATTCTAAAAATGGTTTTTATTTACAAAAATTTTCTATCAGATGATCCATTGGAAGTCCAACTGTCTATATCATTAAAGGATTTTGCAGATCTTGCACACTGATAACTATAGCAATGTTTCCCTATCTTTTTCAGTTTTTTTCATACTTTGTATATATAAGGAATAAATAACCTACATTCCTTTATCCTTGGCAAAGGGTGAGTAGACCTTAACAACTTTCAAAACCCTTTCGTTTTCTTCGATGATATGTCTTCTTCTTTTGGGAAAGGTCCCATCCATAACTATCGTACAAGCATCATGTCCTGCTTGTTGCTCTTACAAAAAGCCACTAACTGATCACGCTGCTCATTAAATGTTATCTCTGACTCCCCTTCAGGTATATCTGGAATAATTTGTAATGGTTCAACTAATTTCCGTTTTCTAACAGCCTTTTTCTTCTCATAAACCAAACCAGCGTCTTCCGATTTTTTTCTATAATTTGTTTATAAAAACACGAAACACAAGCTAGTTACACAACAGTTATAAAGGCCCGTTTTTACGAAAGAAAACTTTGCACAAAACGTAAAATTTTTCATAGTGCGCATGCGCTAAATATGGTAAAATATGCATCAAATTTTCCAGTGAAAGAAAATGGAATGTTTATTCGAGAAGAGATTTTTCAACTTTGTGTTATTGGTCTGGCGAAAGCGTGTGCAATCTGAAAAATTAAACATTCTTTTGAAAAATTTCTTAAGTGGAAACGGGCTTTAAGTGGTGCCCAGCCTCTCTTCAGGGAGTTAACGAACAATGGAAGTTTGCCAAGAATGTTAGACTATAACAGGATAGTAAGTAAGAAAAATGTTTTGTCAAAATTATCTAACATAGAATGCATGATGTAATTTTCATGCCAAGAATATGTAAATTTTAACCTCTCTCGCAGTTTTCCTTCCTATATTTAGCTGGCGATCTTTGATTTTCTTTGCCCAGAATTGTTAAAAAGTAGTTTAATGATAGAATTATCTATGCTATTATGTTAAACGATAACAAACAAATGTGAACTAGAAAGAAAGTGACTTATTACATAGCCCAATCCAAAAAGCAGTAGATTTTTTACGTAAGTACCACGAGAACGTACCTTGTTCAACACGACTACGGTCAGGTTTTCCTCGGTAAGGACCTCCGTAAATCTTAAGTCTTTTTTATTTGACTATTTTTGCAACCGACGATTAAATGTATTGCATACACTGAGACTCATTGACTGCATAAGTTATGTAACAAATTTTAGCCTTATCCCGGTCTTGTTACAAATTGACTTTTTTCTTACCTTGAACTATTTTCTGTCGTTTTTTCTTCATCTATAGCTGTAGACTATAATCAAGGCATGCATGCCTGTCAAGTATTTCAGGCGATAGTTGCCTCTAAAAAACTACTCATCTTTGAAATCTTCTGACATTTAGGGTTTGCATGATTCAACAACAATTGATCCCCAAATAAAAAGCTGAAAACACATATATACGTTTTGCAGCTATTGCAAATTTAAAATCCGAAGCATTTTGGCCTCATTAAGAACAAATTACTGCTGAGTCTACAAATTCCAAATGTCGCCAAATTTCAAATATGAGCATTTTATAAGATACATTGCATTCTTGGTACTATAAATGGTTTGTGCAAACTTTAGCTTAGTTGTTTGCTTAATCAGATGTGTGTTTTTTTTTGTAAATTAAACAATGATTAAACGACAGTGGCATATGCAAGGCCGGAAAAATGCAGTGGAAGTTGTTTGAGGTATTTTCAAACGTACATCATACAACAACTTGTGGTGTGTCTATATACTTAAAATGTTCCATGCATTACTGCATTCATATACTAAAAGGTTTCAAGAACTTAAAAATTAATGTATTCAGGACAAACATAGTCGACTACTCATAAATGATAAATAAAAACTAATGTAGAATTCATAGTTTTACATACTTTAGAATAACTGTCAGTGTGTACTTTATTGCCACTTGGATCAAATTCCTAAATGGACGGTCACAGATATCACATACTTCTGTATTTATGTAAATCTTCATAAATACATGATCTTGAACAATTATAGCTACGTATTTGATGAGGTTTCAATGCGTTAATTTTTTCTGAATTTCTTATGACTCAGAAAGAGTGCCCCCCCTCCCCCGCGCCTTTACATTTGGTTTTATCTTTTGAAGGGTGATTTTTTCGATCGTTTGATTATTTTTGCCGCTATTTTGTCGTCGGCCAACTATACTTATATTTCAATGGCATTAAAGTGCCTATATCACCTTCAGGGAAATAACCCATTTAGATAGAGTTTAAGAACATTCACAATGTATTTTATCTTGGCTTTTTTCGTATCTGACCGCGAGGTGCTGTGTCTGGGTCTAGTTCACTGAACGTGACGTGCATTAGAAAACACGCTGCTTTTTAACTTCGTAGAATTATAGTATAATTCAATAATAAAAAGCCCAACACAATTAAAGTTTAATAAAAATACATTCCTCGACTTTGTCACAAATATCACTAGAAACTACAGCGTTAAAAAGCAGCGTTTTCTACAATGTACGTCACATTAGCTGAGCTAGCCCCACTCACAACACCTCGCCGTCAAACACGAAAAAAAAGCCAAATTTGAGACCAAAAAAGTCAAGGAAGATAAAATTTTTGTCTTATAAAATACATAGCAAATGTTGTTAAATCATCAACTCTATCTAAATAGATTATTTTTCTTAGGGTAATATTACTGATATAGTCACTTTAATGATTTATAATCCGCACTTGCATCGATGCTAACTGTGCAGTTTGCTTTCATACAAAAAAAAAACAGAGCATAAATTTACATTTTGAAACCTGATTCACACATAATATCAAACACATCTTACATTTTTCACCAACGGTCCACTTACCATGCCGGTAACCGAGGTCCACAAAGCGATGAACTTTTTCTTATCTTTAATAATTTCTATTAGCATGTTCCAACCAATTTCATTGCACAAAAGTTTTCTCCATCGATTTCGTTATCTTAAAAAGACAACAATTTGTATTTCAATGAACAAGAAACGAAACCGTGAACTGAGTTTTTTCAAATTACCTTCAAATACGGTGACTGAATTCGACAAAGTATTAGCTTGGAAAAAGAAACAATGTTTACACACCAGAGCTTTCATTTGACAGTAAAGACATCACCGAAAAGTTATATTTTACTCAAAAAACCGAGTAAAAAACCTCGGCGAGAAGCTAGCAATGTTCAGTAACCCTTCACAAGGAATCCACTTTTTGGCGCAAATATACCAAAAAGCTTTTCGAATCCGTGAAAATGATGTAACAACTTATAAAGTGGAAACACTGATTTACAAAAAGAATAAAAGTCTTCGGAGCGCTTGCTTGTTTTGTTGGTTTTTTACAATTCTGTGTAACTTATATAATAAAACAATGCGCTGATTATATAGTTTTAATAAAAAGTGGTGATAATAAGCGTTGTTACGTGCCAAATACGTACTGACTTTTTTACATCAACTATATCAGAAATGGTCAGTCATTTAGTTTTGGTTCACCAAAATGATCCTGGTTTACACATAACATGTGATATACCTGGATGTCAATTAACTTTTACACGAGTTTTTTCTTACAAAAGTCATCTACGTCGTACTCACAGAGACATTAATATTAAGAAGCCAGTAGCCCAATTAACACACGGCATCGAAGAAGTGAATCGATATGGAAGAGTTTTGCACGAAGATGAAGAAATAGTTGAAACTCATAATGGAGATGAAATTAATAAGATGAAACGTGCAAACGCTCTCTATATACTGAAGCTAAAGGAAAAGAACTTTCTCACTCAAACATCACTTAATAGTGTGGTTCAAAAATACGTACAACTGGCATTGTTAAAAGAACCCTAAGTGCGTTGAGAAAGGAAGTGGCAAAGACACTGGCAAAAGATGGCATAGAACTAACGAACATCGAAGGATTAAGTGACTTATTCGACAATGATCACCCTTTATGAATCCTTTTCGCCAATATTGAAACACAGTATCAACAAACAGTATTTCAGAAATTTTTTTTTCTTAGTGATAAGAATAATGGTTAATACTTAACATCTTCACATCTGAGCATGCTCACTAGATTATACTAGACAATATATACATTTATTCAAGCTGTATAGGTATACAAAACACGTGTTCTAATATTAATGAAATGCATGCAATTATCTTAGTTTATATTGAAGTAATTACATTCGAAATTAAGGAACCAAGACGTATACTACTTGGTCATGTATCAAAAAGGAGACGTGTTGCAACAGGTCATAAAGAAATTTTGGTTAACAAGGAATTCGTGTATGTCCCATTGCTAAAATCCTTGGAACAAATGCTCAATCAGTCAACAGTTTTTTCTCAGGTAATTCAATGAGTTAGCTAAAACTATTAACCGTTCAGTGGATTTTATTACTTGTTAAAATTTTAATAGGGTTGCCGTTTGTATGGTAATCATTAAATTAAGACCGAAGATTGAGGTTAAACACTTTAATTTTTAGTTGCCGAAATACATAGTTCTATATCGTTGGTATTTTGATAGTCAACGAAATATTTAGTTGAATTTTTGCTTTCTTCAGGTTGAACAAACAATCCCATAATCCCATCTGAACAATAAAGTGTTCATTACAGTTATTAAACCCTCATAAAAGTACCGATAATTATATTAGAGATTTCTGCGATGGTAAGCTATACTAATGCCATCCGTTATTTTCGAGAAAGTCTCGGGCAATTCAAATAATTCTTTATTACGATGAACTGGAGATAGCAAATTCATTGGGAAGTAAGGCTGGAAAACACAAATTAAGTAATTAATTGCTGTTTGACGTCATGAAATTCTAATTATGCCTTTTACTTAATAATATGACTATCATTAAAATTATAAGTTGCAACTTTCCCACTCACTATTTCCCAAACACCAGAACTATTGGCATAGAGGAACTAACTTTTAATGTAGTAATTTTTTATCACACTTTGGGCAATATTATTCAAGAGAAAAGATCGCAACATTCAACTAGTTGCACTTGTTACCGTTCCTCTTGTTAAAAAATATGGTATAGATGCCATTTTGGAACCGTTTATGAATGATGTAATGGAACTTTAGAAGGTAATATTGATACATTGTTACAAAAACAACGGAATTATCTATGTGCCTGTGGCGTGAAACGGCATAATTTTATATGTGTGGTAGGCACATGTAAAAGCCTACTACTAACTTTATGGGACAGCTGCTCAAATTCGTGTAATATGACAACTATAGCAAAAGACCTCACTAGCTTCTCGAGCTTACATTTATCACTGGAGCATCTACGTCAAATCTAGGCTCTTACGTCACAATTTGTTTCTCAGGCAAATGACTACACGACAATAATAACTCATTGCGCAAATGTTCGTAATTATTTGCATTTTACAATATTTATCCTAGGATGAGGGATATGGTTCTAAAATAAGTGGCAAAATACACAAATTACAAGGAAATATAATTTACTGTAATGGGGATAATTTGGTTCACAACTCCTGGGTGGATTTAAAGAAGGTCCGGCTTCTTACTTAAAGGGAAGAGAGTGTATGGGCACTCATGAACTTATCACTTCACTGGTATGGAATAAAGAAATAAACCAAAACTGCGTATGTATCGTGATATACGTAATTTTCAATATGATATTAACTATACAATGGGCATGTCAAATTTAGTTTATTTTTAGTTCTTAGAGAAGAACTTTGAATTACGAACTAAGGAAGGTCATAATCATCATTGTCGTCAAATAGAGATCAATTCAGAGCTTTCCAAGACTTATGGGGCGAAACGAAAATCAATCTTGTGCAACTCTCGATATTTTCATGTTATTCATGGCCTTCCTGGGGATGCCATGCATGATGTACTAAAAGGGGTATTACAGTATGAGTGCAAGGAGATGCTAAAGCTTTTCAATAATCATGAATTTTTTTTACGTTGGAGGAACTCGATAACCGTGTACAGTTATTCAACTATGGCTACATGAATGACAGAGACAAGCCTTCAACTATTCAGCAACGCACACTAGCCAGTGCAGGCATTGCTTTAAGGGGTGCGCACACACGCACCCAAGTTGACTAAAGCGAGCGATCCATAGCGCGCCATTTTACGATTTCTTTCACAAAAGAGCGAAACTGTAGTGACAAATATCAAATTACGTTCTGAATAACATTTGTAGATAGTTGTGAAATTTGTTGATATCATGACAAAATAATGTGTTAATGAAAACTATTAGTAAGAAATAACTTTAGGTGCACTTATGCAAGGAATTATCTTTTCAATGATACAAAAATTACGTGCGCCTTTACGTGAAATTACGATCTTTGGCCGACTTTGGCCAGAACTTGACCTTGACCTAAAAAGAGCGCGATTTTTCCATAGTATTTTTCACAACAGAGAAACGATCGTCAGTATATTTGTCAACACTATATTGGCGCGTGCAACGTTTTTAAAAATTTAATTTTTTAACAAATGGCGAGGTTTGTAGCAAATATAAGCTATATGAATAAATAGTTAAGCACATACTGTAGTTCAAGTTGAATTAACTATAAAGTAAAAACTACGTCATTTATAATTATACTTTGAGGATATTTAAAAAAATTTTAGCGTCGAGCGCGCCATAAATTTTTCGTGCATGATCAATCACTTGCGCTTAATTTTCTTACAGCAAGGCCTGTAGCGACAACAACAGCTTAAAGCGAAAAGGTAACACACCTAGCTTCGCTACATAATGTCACGAATAGAACTAATAGAAGCTTCAAAAAATTTAGAATTGAATAACCCAGGCATTGTCTAAAATTTTCAAGTAAAGACAGTAGGCTACCAGCACTTGATAAAATTGCCAGAAAAAATGCCAGCATTTTACTTTATCTTATTAGCAGCACAAATGTATTGCTTTGCAAAGTTCTTACACCTGATAATTGGTAGACTTGTTCCAAAGTTCCGGCACTGGAAGCTTTTCTGCCAGCTCCTAGAGATGGTTGATATCGTGTTTGCACAAATAACAGTCAATGCCACTGCTGTATTGGAGGAACTGATTGAAGAACATCATTCCACATTTGTTCAACTTTATCCAGACTGTTCAATCATTCCTAAAATGCACTATATGGTTCATTATCCATCCCACATGATGCAGTAAGCACTCAGACACTAAACACATGAAATAGTAATGGTATATGGCAATAATTACGTATAAATAATTCCAGGAGTACGATAAACATAATATTTTTTATAGATTGGATCCATGAAGCGGACGTGGTGCATGCGTTTTGAAGCTAAGCATCATTATATCAAAAGGCTAGCTTCATTTATTGGGAACTTTAAGAATGTAGCATATACCATGGCCACATGTCATCAGGGGCAGCAGTGCTACTATTCAAATGTGAATGATGAAGAAACTTGCTCATTTCTCAAACGACCAAGGTCAGCAAGTAATATATAGCATAATGAAGCACTAGTTTACAGCTACAGGCATGGCATTAATATAAAATTTAAAGCATGCATTAATTAAACAACTCACATCAAATAATATGGTTTAAGAACTCTATAGGCAGCGGTCACATTGTTGTGGCTCAGGAATCCACTTACTATGTTGAATTACAAGCTAAACTGAAACACATGGCAAACAAAGAGTTGTTCTTTGAGTAAGTTTTAATGTACTCTTATTATATTTTGTTTGTGATTTAAATACCATTGCAAAGTCTTTACTGTAAGCAAGCTGTACAATAAAATATTACATCATGCCAGTATTTTATCTAAAGCATGGGACAAACTAGAAAATTTTGCTGTGTTCTGTTTTCTGCCTGGCATGCCAAAATGAGTCCAATCAATTGCAGAAAACTGACAAAATTTTGCATGGATTTTGCAAGTTGATATTAATACTATGCTGTATTTTTCTGTAAGACAACATGCCTAAAAAGGTTAACATTAATGGGAATGATTACATGGTTGGAGCAATTGTAGTCACAGGTTATTCATATGAGCATAAAGAGCCAGAATTTGGTCTAATACGAAAATTGTGATGCTACCATCCATATCCTATTTTCACATAAAGAAATATATTGCTGTCAACTCCAACAACCATTTTCATGCTTATGGAGAAGAACTGGAGAAGAACTGTCAACTTTCATCACTAGCAATGAATTTTTTATTCATACTCCAATGCACCTTGCATGTGCTATCAGTGCAGCTGGAAAAAATGCACCTTCATTTGTTGTGATACCATATAGCACAACAATCCATGCATAAAATCATGAATTCTTTGATTGAAATTATGAAAAGTGGTAACATAAGTAATGACATGGTAACAATTAAAAATTGGAAAATGTATATCTTAATATATGTGTACATTGAGCAGGTTATTCAATTTTGATACAACTTATTTCAATTGGATAATCTAATTATAACGAATAATGCTAATTTTTAGGTGTAACAAAATGTATGTAAATATATACAGTATGAAAGATTAAAAAAATGAAGAAGTACCATATATACTACACTAAGAAACTAATATATATAAAAACATACTGTATAATAATTTTACTTACCAAATATCACGTGTTTGGATGTAAACTGCACTAGCTTGGCACTCGGGTTATCATGAATGTTTTGCAAGTTCAACAAAATTATCAATCTGACTGCAAGAAAGAAAGAAAAAATTTTCCTGCGCCTTTAACATCTCCACATATAAAGATACATTTTAAAACGATGGAAATACAAAGGAGACAAAAATTCACACATCATGTAATATCACAAATACAAAGAAAGACCATGTAGTCCGTTGCCTGTGTAATCAAAATGTCCTTAGAAATAAAGTTTCATAGCCACCATTGCGGTGCTAAATTTTATGAACGGTATTCTGTCGTTTTTGACATGCTGAATTCGAATTTCTCTGTTCCCACTCACCCAAACTCGCAGTTTTTCAGAATTTTGACGATGAAGATCGTTCCCGTTTTTGCTCTTATGCTACAATCTTACTTGAAGTACTTCTAGTTTACCGCTATTATTTTGAGCCGAGTTATGGGCTTACAATTATTTTGAGAGGTAAACAAGGCAAAACACAATTTTCTAGTAAGAAAGATTATACAAGTTGACAGAATATTGAAGTTTGCTGCAAGGTCAAATCAAATTACGAATTATGTAATAAAGAGGTGTTATAATACGAAGAGCGGGCAGCATGTGGATCCAGAGAGCCTAAGACCGTGAAGAGTGGAGAAAATGTGGAGGCCATCTGCCAGCAGTGGCGTGACAGGCTGATGATGATGATGATGATGATGATGATAATAATACGAAGAACAATTGGTCTCGACTCCCATCAAATCGTACCCATTGGCAAAGAAAGTTTAGTCATGATGGGCCAATATGCCACACATATAAATGATATCTAGGTAGTCATTCAAGTGATCCTTTCTTCAAACAAATTCTATGTCTACATTAGGCACACGACCTCCTATATACCCTTAGAGCCAATTATGTAAATCACTAGACTAAGAATAAAGTTTTGATTTATTTTCACAAATGTCCAATGTTACGCCTAAACTACAGAATAACAATTATATACAGAAGGGTTACTCAAGTGTGCACCGCGTCTTCACGGCCGCCAATTCTCCAGCAAGATACTTTGGGTTTTTCACTTGTTTCCAACCACTGCAATAACATAACATCATATCTTTGTAATGAAATCAAAAATAGTTTAATATAAGAAATGACGAAGTAAATGGTTTGAACCCGGGATTATCGTTATATGTTTGTAAATGATGATCATCCAGGTTAATAAAGTCCTGAGAAGGACTGTTTTTGTTTTTGTTGACTGACGTTTCGACAACCTTAGCGGTAGTCATCTTCAGAGTCAAATGAGGAGTAAACGTCAGGTTAGCCGTATTTGTTGTCTGTTTCTTACGTCATTGTATTGTGTGTACAGGAAATGTGTATTGTCATTGTGAGTTAGTGTGAAGTGAAATATTTCATTTTTAGTTGTGATGTGTGATTTAGGTGTGCAATGATCTAAATGTTGATGTAATTCTGTTTGTTCTTGTTTTTGAAATAGGGTTTGTCACTTGTGTGCTCAATTGCCAATGTTGCGTCTTCTTTGCTTGTACTCCCGTGAATGTACGTCAAGAGCGTTGGCTTTGGTATGTCCCAATTTAGAAGAAGAAGATGGACACGTTCTTTTACAGTCCGCTTCTAAATTAAAAGTTCCTTGTACAACCGATAGGAAGTTGCATGTATTTACACATCCATGCTCCAAATGTATTAAGTGCAAAGGTTCAGGTACACGATCTTCCTAGAACTACCGATGGAGTGAAAGTTTCGCTTAGATGCAATCGCTGTAATTTGTTTCATGGATATTCCAAGTACGGTAATGGGAAAAATGGCTGGATGTTATATCCCGAACAAAGAAAAATGATCGAAGCTACGGATGTCTGTTTCGTTGATTCAACTTTGCTTCAGTGGCAGCTGTCACTCGCGTAAGTTACAAAATAGTCACTTGATTAATTTATGTTCAAATAGCAAGTAGAATTTACAAATGAAACATGTTTTACATAGTTGTCATTCGTGGGTATCATTTAACGGTTTTCCTGAAGCGCTTAATGAAGTATACAATGGCAGTAAGAGAACGATATGTTGTAGATCTGTATTACTGATATCACGTTGTTACAGTTTTTGATGGTAAGCATTATTTGCGTTTTATACAAATAAAACACTGAAAGTATATTTATGCTTTTACACTGAGTTGTTAAATGTCCATCAAGTGAATTTCCTTTATATTGGTCATAGTGCAAAAGTGTCACATGTTGACGAAAAGCATGCACTAGCTATAAAAAACATGAATATTTTATGAGCCTTTTCATTATTGAACAATTGTCAATAAATGCATGGACAAGATAACGGAAGATGCATTATTATTCATCTTTAGAAACTGTTGAACTTTACTACTGTGGCTGGAAAAACATCATTTTATGGAGAAAAAACACTTAAGTATAAAAGTTTCAACGTTAAGAGGACTGAAAATTAAATAAAAACTTGAAGTAGCTACAAAGAGATTGGTTGTCATACTGCATCACAATACTTATGTTTTTTATTACCTGGTGCATGTTTTTCGTCAAAATGTGACACTTTTGTATTATGCCCAATATAAAGGAAATTCAAATGGATGTACTTCATTTAATGGACGTTTCATTTTCAAAGAAAGGGAGAACTCATTGCTGCCATGAGGAATGTTAAAAGCGTAACATTTTTCTTTGAAGAAATTTCTTCAAAGAGCACTCATGTTTTAGAGAAACAGAAAGACATTCATGATCCATCTTAAAACAATGCATGGAAAACATGAAAGAAATATCGCCATGCAATTGAAATATTAAACTTGTGAAAATTCACACATCCTTGTATCGTAAAAAGAAAGACCAGTGTTTTATTTGTGCACTAGATTTGTAAAAAACTCCTTCTTACACACATCTATTTGTTCAACAACTAGACTATCCCCGTCATTTTGATACACAAGCGTGATAACTCTTTCATGTTGAGATGAAATAAGCCACTTCAGGAATAAAATTGACATCAATAAACAATTTAAACCCTGAACTTTTAACAAAATAACGCTTCCAGGAAATGCCGAATCAATGAAGTGAGAGACACCTACGAAGCTGTTTGCTGCATTGGTAGACAACCAAATTCAGACGTTTGTGTTTTGGGCGAAAACCTTCAATTGAACAGTGATGGTGACGTCGTTACTGCAGAAGAGACCAGCATTATATGGGTCAAGCCAATCTTGGAATCGGAAAGAACTGCAACTCATTGGCCTAAAGTAAACCAACCTTTATGTTCCTTAACATTAGGTAAAATGGTGAACTCTCTGATATCCATGTTGCATCATAATGGTATCGCTGCTGTACTCACAATTGGTAAGCTCATTACAATATGTTCAATATTGTGGCAAGTGATGTCTGTTTATTACATAATTGCTGACGTTTTTTCGTGTAAAAATACATTTGTCACATTTATTTTAGCATGAAAAGAATAATAGTAATTTGTAGACCTGTTGCTTATTTAAGTTTTTATGTAGTTAAATAGTGAATTTTATATGTAGCTACAATATTCACTCGAATGAAACAATATGAAGAGCAGGCGAAACTTGATCACCGATTTGATTAGTTTTTTTTCAAAATAGCTGCAATGTTATTAGGCTTTTATTATGAAATGATTGTGGATATTCTGAGATTTTGTCCCCTGCCCTTTGTATGTGAAACAAACAGACTTGGAAAGACAAAATCTTTAAAAGCCGCACTAAGTGTTGTAGGAAATGGATCAAACTTCTTTTCAGCAGAAAGGGAAAGACTCATCCCCAGGCTATGCAGCAGATCAACTTTGCCTCCCGTGCTCGACGACGTTAAGAGCACCACAGTTATTGAAAATGTTGCGGTCTCTTTCTACAACAGTGGCAAAGACGAAAAATGTGTTTTCGAAGCAGCTCCTCGAATGATTCCGATGTTCACAGTCAATTGGGACACTTTAGAGGGATTGAACAACGGCTCCAGGTAAATTTTTCCGTATTTATGGAAGAGGTTTGCTTTTTATTGCATTAATATAATTTTTCACGTGCTTTAGAGTACTTGGAAGGCTTGTCCTAATTCCCTTTCAAGAAGGAGCAAGAAGTCCTCTCAGAATCGAGAATCAACAGAACGCAGAATTCCAAAACAATACAATAATGGAAAGAGGGTCTAGTGATTTTGGGATCATGGTGGCAATTAGCAGATCTTTCGAATACCTCTGCATAACTAGAACTAATGAGCTCTGTCAACAATTTACCATTGAAGCACCGAACATTGACGATCGCTGTTTAAGAAATCATGCACTTTTGGTAGCAATTGCTGAGAAGGTATTTGCCTTATTAACAACATAACATGTAATTGACTAATAGCCAATGACCACTTGCACAATTATAACATAGGTAATACGGCTGGCAAGTATTGATGATCTCTATCCAAGCAATGCCATCGCTTTTTTCAAACAAACAATCCTGCCAGTGTGGATGAAGCGATTCCAGACCAACCAAGCGCAAGTGTCTCATGCAATGCTTCAAACAGAACAGCCAATTATTGTGGACTTAATAATGAAGTCAATAGAGCACAAAATATCTTGCAAAAACGTTTGTAATAAATTCATAGCCCATAGACCAAATTCATAAAGTAATTGTGACATTTCTTATTTCTAGTTACTCACTTGGGTAAATCCAAAAGTGACATTTAAGTCAAGCTCAAGTGGAGTAAGACTTAATGGAGTAGCAGTGGCACTGAAATGTTTTTTTGCCTTGCTAAAAGATCGCGAAGTTCTGTTTCCGAATGAAGAAAGAGTGAGACAAGAAATTAAGTCTCTCGACATTGGGGTGGTCAATGGGCGAAGCCAGTATTTCAATGCAAATGCAAATGGTGAAAAGATCAGCAGATGCTCAAATGGAGTAGAAACTGCTTCCAAAAACTGAGTAATTATACAACAATCTGCATTTGGAAGTGAGAATTGGATTATTTTTTCGGAAGCTTAGCATTTTTAACAACTAATTTTATACAGATGGAAGCAAGTGCGAAAGGATTACAAATGGAATGGACTGGCTACTCTTTAGTCATGATATGTTAGTTTCAAAGTATTATAACTATCAGCTTCTTTAAAAATTGATTTAAGAACAGATGCTATTTAAAAAGAAATCTAAAGTGTATATTGACAAAACGTGTGATTGTCATTGAAAAGCGAAATAATAATAGTCATTATTTTTTTAGCCTTCAACATCTTAGATACAAATATCGCAAGAGACAGCTTGGGGTCCACCACCGAAACCAGCATAAATGATACAAACACAGCGTCTATGTCTGAAATGGAAATTGGTAAACGCAGCAGACCGTCAACATCTGGAACCAGAAGATACAACTCAAACACACCGTCCACATCCGACAATCAAAATGGAAGAACAAACACATCACGTATTGTAAATGCAAACACCACGCAAAACTTACCCTTTGAGTGTGGTGACACAACACCTGACGGATCTGACACACAATCAACATTTGGTGCTCAATCAACAAATTAAGATGATAGTGGCATTAATCTGGAAGGTAAATATACTGATAGAAACTATTATGCTAAAGGTTCTTCTATTTGTCTCATATCTAAAAATTTTTATCATACTAACATTTTGTTTTTATACTGTCGTATTAGTGGAGCTGGGAGAAGTGGACAGAATGGATGTTTTAAACACAGTTAGTGCATCAAAGAAAAAGAGATGCAAGCAAATAAGGGAGCGAACGAGACATGTTTAAAACAAAGAAGTTTAAGAAAAAAGATATATAATTAAAAAAGTATTGTGTTTTGTGTAACGTGTTCAGAATAATATGGTTATGAAAAATGTAACTTCTCGCCGTATAAATGAGCTATCTTGCCATGAGATTACCTAATTGGCTAGCAAAACAAAATATGTGACATCTTGCCTTCATCATTCATTGTATGAAATATGATAACAAGGCAGAAGTTCTCTAAGAAAACAACAAGCATATCTCTAAACAATTGGGTTTTTTTCGTTGCAGCCAAATACAAGTATTTATATTGCAAAAAGGTTTGAAAAATTATGATTCGTTTTTTAAGAATAACCGTGTACTTTTGATCATAATATACTATCTTACTTTTCACACTTCATTAGGAAAGGTCAAAGGACGAAGAAGACGAAATGATTGTTTGCGAAAACAGAAAAAGAAAAGCAAGAAAGGTTCAATATTTTTTATCGTTTTATAAATTGATTCGCCTCCTGCTCCTTTTGTAAAGCCAGGCCTTATATCAATAAAAAATACAATTTTCATATGTCATAAAGACCATTTGTTATTTATGTTTAAAAATTTTATTGCTTATTTTATGGGTCATCTACTAAAGATCTATGGCCAATACAGTGTACCATTTTAGAACTGCCAACAGATCTTCGTAAAAAGCATATAGTCATGCAAGCATTAAGGTTTTCAAAGTGCATATTAAACATGAATCTTCTGCTGCAACCTTTTATTGAAGAAACTGAACAACTGGCAACTAAAGGTAACAACATCATGTGCATGTACCATGTTTTAGTTATATTTGGGCAGTTTACCAATATGTTAGACCAAATAAGAACAGCGCCAATGAGGGAGCTTGAATGACCACTTCCCTCCTCCCCCCCATTATTTTTTCCCTTAGGTAAAGTTCGTTCTAACATTTATATATATTAGCCTAACTTGATGCAAGGTAAGACACAGTAAGTTTGTCTACAGTAAGTTTAGCCCTACAGGCTCACTTTTTGTTGCGCCGTTTTTACCAAACTAGTGAAAGTTATTCGCCCCTTTATTAAATGAATCAAAAAGATTTATTTTCGTGATTCTGATAAGTTCAATCTATGCTAAAAAACTGTATCAAATTGTCTTAGGACATCTTATTCCATGGTCATCGTATATGGGTTTTTACCCCTATTTGCTCTGCTGATGCCCCCGCAAGACCTAAACTGAAAAATACGAATTAGTTTATTGGCGTTTGTGGGTGCGATTGGTGTCTCCATGCAGGTATATTGTGTTATATTTTTAACATATGCGATTTAAACTGTGGCATTTGATTCTAACCAAGTCTGCAAGTTTACTCTCAACGACATTTCTCGCATAATCATCCCTGTACAGACCCAGAAATATTTGTCATTTGAAACGGCAAGGAAATTTATCGAGGAAAATTATTTAAGTAACATTCATTCAATAAAATATTCCAAATACAGATACGGCTTAACTTGTTTCCTTTAAAAATTTCAGACATATCTTGCCCTTTTCAATTCGTTTTGCATTGCGAGAATGAATAAAATTGTGCAATGTGCACAGGCTCTAATGACTGACATTTCTGCGTCAGTCGTCGATTCAAAACTAGAGTTAAAGCCATGTGACTTTCTGTGATTTAATGATTTCATATTAGTTGGATACGTTTAGCGTTTTAGGAATACAAGTAGTGCGTGGTAAAGGGAGAACGCGAGTTTATCCATTTGACGAGGCTCAAAAACAACGCACCCATCATGAAATGGAATGTGGGCATTAGAAGCTTTGGAAAAGGAAACTGCAATAATGGGTGTGAAAGGGACAAGTATGCTTTCAAAGTTTAGTCACTTAAACATGGTTAATGGTTTTGTTCCTGACTTTTTACTTTGTGCTCTACTTAAAGTGGCACGTCAACTTGTATCTCTTTGGTTTGACAGCAGTAACCACGAAAGCCCATGGTACATTGGACAGCCTTTCAAACAAACAATTTATGACAGTCTAATCAAGATCATCGTTGTTCCAAAAAGAAGTACGACGGCTTCCACAATCTTTAACTACACGCGAACACTGGAAAGGTAATGAATACAAAACGTTTGTTTTGTATTACTCACTTATAAACATTCAAGGAGTTCTTCCAGCATCTTACCTCAACCATTTTTTCCTATTCGTGTGGGGTCTTCACAAGCTACTTGGTACAGTGCTGCCACTCGAAGGGGAAATCTCTTTCAGTAGGAGGATTTAGTGGTTTGTAGGTGGTAGGGGAAACCTACGGAGAAAACTGTAAATTTTAGGGGTATTGTAGCGAGAAATAAAAGTTGTTTAAAATTGAGCCTCATTTTTGCCAAAAATACTCTTTTCTTCCTGTGTTCTCACCATTTAGCAAGTGATTGTAACAGAATCTTTCATTTGGCACATTTTGTGACCATATATGGCAATAGAAAATCAGCAACTTAGATAAACTCAGTGTGTCATTTGCACCACCTGCATGTCATTACTTCCTACACCAAAGTACTAACTTTTTCGTATAGATGTTCTTAGTTTTCATTAAATCTTTTTTTGCTTGCATTTTTAAAAACAGACTAAAAAATTCAATGTTCTGACTCGACTTAGGTATATAATATGGGGATATGCTGCTGTGTAGGGGAAAAGTAGGGGAATACAAGGAAAATCATCGTAGGGGGAGGTAGGTGGAAAATGAAGTTTTGGTAGGTGAAATGTGCATACACAGAGTGGTAGCACTGGCTTGGTATTCCATTTCAAAAAATGACTTGGCAAAAGTTTAAGCTGGACTTGATCTGTTTATTGTGAACATGGAACAACTGTATGGGGTTTCCCATTGTACATTTAATGTTCACCAACTGTCTCACTTGGCTAAGAGTACTGAGATGTGTGGACCTTTATGTGCTGTATCAACATTCTTGTTTGAGAGCAACAATGCTACTCTGAAGAATATGATTCAAGGAACACAGTATGTTTCTGGTCAGGTTTGCAAAACGTAGGCTGTTTTTGAAAACGTTACCGTTGTTCATGAAACATGGTGTGCAAGGAAACGAACTGGTCTCTGAACTTTTTGAAAAACTGGTACATGGAACGTCTTTAATATAAAAAGCGGTGAAACTGTCGCAGAATCTTACAGCGTTGAATAAAGCAAAAATTCCATTGAAGGAAAAGTACCACTGACAGTGGCTGCTGGTGGAGTGGTCAACAGCGTTGTGTACAAATACAACCGATTTATTATTAATAGAAAACTTTACGAAAGCGATCAATACAACAGATCTATGAAGCGGAAAAACTGCTACGTTAAAGTAAAACGTCAAGGTAAAACATTTTTTTATAAAGTAACTGGATTGGTTTCTTTGAAAAGATGCAACTGTCACACGTAGCATCACGAAGAATGTGTTTGCCCTAAATTGAACGTAATTGCATGCACCCTTTTCAACGTTGTAAGAAATCAAATATATAGGTGTATTGTTTCGACTATTACGTCTGATTTTATATCAGAGGAGATAGAGTCACCAGAGGTAGTTATATTGAACTTGAATGAAATCGTCTCTAAATGTATCAAAGTTGTCCATAAAAAATAAATTCATTTGATTAGTATGCCTAATATGGTTGGAATGGAGTAGTTATATTTCTGTCAGTCGGTTATATTTATTAATTGTGCACAAGGTCTATTGTGCCGTAAACAGCATGTAAGCTTTGTAAATATAAGATAAGCCATGTTAATAGCATATTTCTTGCAATATTCCTATCAAAATATAAAGTATTCCCATAGTATAACGCCTTTAAGATACATAATAAAGAATCTTTATACTATAGTGTTGTTAGAACATGTTGTTTTGCGTGAACAAACCTTGGCAATGGTGTTTAAAACATATTTTTAACAAAATGAAAACATTTGAGT